AGGTAAGGCTCCGCGATGCAGGTAAGAGTCCCTCGGCATAGACAAGGCCTCAGCGTCCCCAGGTAAGAGCTCCTCCCCTCCTTGATGACCCTTCAACTTCAGTGAGGCCTGCAGCCTTCTCCAGGTGAGGGACCTTCTCCGCAGGTGAATCCCCTGTGCCTTACGTGCAGCCGCCCCCTAGCTCCGCCCTCCGCAGTTCGGATGAGGTCCTAGAGACCATCCAATTCCTAACCCCTCGGTGCTCCCCTAAACAGAGAACTGACAGCTCATCCACTCTAAGGCTCCTTCCTCCAGTTTCAATTGCCAGGTCAGCAGGGGTGAGACTGAAAGCAGGTGGGTGACTCATCTTGGGCTCCTCCTAGCCTCAGTTTCCCCGCTGATGCAACTTGAGGCCTCCTCAGTGAGTCAAAACTGAGCTGGCTCTGGCCCCTGGAGAGGCTGCTGGCTCTGGGGAGAGGAGACAGCAGCCAAGTGTGACACAGAGAGATTCCCTAGCCCTGGGCGTGCCTGCTTGTATGTGGCCAGGGTCCTGACAATCCACTCCCTCCCTCCCCAACAGGCACTGGGCTCCCTTTGCTCCCCGTGGGCTGCTCCCCGCGTGGGGCCACTGCCCCTGGCCCCCGCCATGGTGCGGATTTCAAAACCCAAGACGTTTCAGGCCTACTTGGATGATTGTCACCGGAGGTATAGCTGTGCCCACTGCCGTGCTCACCTGGCCAACCACGACGACCTCATCTCCAAGGTAACCAGGTCACAGTTGGGGCTGGAATGAGCTACTAGAAGGGCTGCTTAGCAGCTCCCCACCAATAACCCTGACATTCCCTTCTCTCCCATCCCTTAGTCCTTCCAGGGCAGTCAGGGGCGTGCCTACCTCTTCAATTCTGTGTGAGTATTTGGCCTCCCTTCTTTCTTTCCCTGACCTCTATTGTGACCTGTAACCCATGGCATCATGCTGAGACTCTCAAAGTCCCCTGGTTCAGGCAAGAAGCTAAGGACAGACACAGTTGGATACAAGCTAGAGGTGGGCTTTGTAATGGCGGGACCCTCCCTGGGACTGCCCCCATGTCCCCACAGGGTGAACGTGGGCTGCGGGCCAGCCGAGGAGCGGGTGCTGCTGACAGGCCTTCATGCTGTCGCTGACATCCACTGCGAGAACTGCAAGACCACTTTGGGCTGGAAATATGTGAGTCAGTGACCTCTGACCCCAGGCTAGCCTTTGACATGACCTCACATCACAAGCAGTCATCTGATAACCTCTCAGGGTATATAGGCCCAGCTCACACAAGTCAAACAGTCTTTTCATCCCCTGACCATGCTTGCTTCTCTCATATCCTGCCAAGGCTTTTAGAATTTTTCTCTTAACCCATCCCTCCCCTCACAGGCATAAGCACCCCCATTTTAGGGATGGTGATATAATCAGAATTGCCGCTTATTGGATGTTTATTGTTATGCACTGTTATGAGCTTGGCATATACCATTATCTCATCCTGTCCTTGCAACAATCCTGTAGGTAGTCTACCTTATCTCCACTTTACAGAAGAAGAAAGGAAGGCCCAGAGATGTTAGGTAACTTGCCCAAGGTCACACATCCAGCAAGTAACAGAATAGGGACCAGAATTCGACTTTGTTTGGTTTTTAACACCAAACCCTTGACCCCAGCTTCTGTTACCATTCAGAGGATCAGAGAAATTGCCCGAGCCCCCACAACAACACAGAGTTTGGGTCCATATACCTGCTTTTCCACTGCCCTCATTGCCACTGCTGCTGTCCAGTGTCTGATTTCACTGCTCTGAGTTTCATTTCCTTATCTGGCAGTGGAGTATAAAGCCACCACCTGGCACCCAAGATTGTTATGGAGATCAGATTAGATGCAGCCAAAGAAGATGCTCTTGGGAAACTGCAGTTGCTTGGAGCTGTGGTGCCTTGGTGATGTGTGTGCCCCAAGCAGAGACATGCGGACACCCCTGACCAGAGTTCACCCTTGGCCCTGCCACAGATTTGCTTTGTGTCCCTGTGCAGGTGGCTTGGCCTCTCTGGACCTTTGTCAGATAAAGAGGTGGCCAGTTTAGAGATCAGAAGCTCAAGTGCTTGCAGGGCCAAGCAAATACTGTGGATATGCAAAATGGGCAACATAGATTGGGGGGTGAGGGGAGGGGCAACCTGTGCCATACTGGAGTGAGCATGGCCTGCCTATACACTAGTATTTCAGTTATTTTTGTTAAACTCTCTGCTGGCCAAACAGAACATGTAGGCCAAAATTGGCACTCGGCTACCAGTTTGTAATCCCTGGATCTTGTATACACTTCCATATCCTCACTGTTGGAGCCAACATTAGTACTTAAAAAGTACCCATGATTCAGAGAGTTCTGTCTATCCCATTAGTGAGAAACTTGGCCCTGTCACTTACCAGCTCTATGTCTGTGGGCAGGTGGCTCAGCTTCTCTGGGTGACAGTTTTCTCATATATGAAATGGGGCCAATCATATCCATGCCCCAACCTCTATCCCTGTTGGTAAGGCCCTCGCTCCAGGGATGACAGCCTCTCCCCTCCTTTCAGGAACAGGCCTTCGAGAGCAGCCAGAAGTACAAAGAGGGGAAGTACATCATTGAACTCAACCACATGATCAAAGACAACGGCTGGGACTGACCCCTGCTCTTGCCCCATGTGGCTCCAGCCTGGCCTGGCCGCCAGGGGGCGCCACTGGCTTCCCTTCGCTGCCGGAAAGGAGCTCTGGACCCGCAGAGCCCCTGCAGAGGAAGGATTCAGCTCCTGTACATATATTTTATTGCATGCACTGTGACCTTGGGGGGAGATCCGAGGTGGATGACACCACCCCCACCCCCCACCTCCCTGCGATCTGGCTGGCTTGGATCTCATTTTTTAACCTTCCTGCCCCGCCTACCCTATAGATATGGCCTGTGTGCTGTTCTCTTAGCCCAGTGCAACATCTGCCCTGTGAACGCCCACTGGGCCCCTCTTACCGCACGCGTGTCTGCTCCCCTTGTTCTGTAGCGTTTGTATATAATAAAACAATGGAGTGGAGACAGCCCCGGGCGTATGTGGAATCGGGAAGGAGAAACTCAAGTGCAGATTTTTGCCTCTATGCACCTGTTCCCTTCTGAGCCCCAGTGGGGCAGTGGGTAGGCACCGCTGCCAAAGGTGGAAGTCTGCGCTCCTGGGGCCTCACTTCAGCCATCTTCTCTAGGACCCAGGACAGGTCTCACTGCCTGTCATTCCCGAGCCCACTCTGGCTCCCTAGACCTTGACCTCGGCTGATCTGCATCTTCTCAACCTCAGTGTTTTGCCATTGCCCAGCAGCCCCTACAGCGTATCTCAATCTTCTCAGGCCCAAGCTGGTGCTGGGCCTGCTGGGAAGTGTAGTTCCCGGGGTTCCCCAACATGGGACCTTCTGGGAAACCCAGGCTCCAGCTGGGTGGAGACTGTATTGCTGTGGGGACCTCTAAACTTTTGAGACTTGGATAAGGGCGGAGAAGGAGAACCAGGAAGGACTCCAGGGTTCAGCCTTGGGCTGCGGACTCCAGTGCCCTGCGTAACAGTGTGCTCCGGCTGTGGCCCTCCAGTCCTGCTCTTTCCCTCCATTCATGCTTCATCCTTCCAAGCCCCGTCCTCCAAGTGAATTGGGGGGAGACG